TAATTCATCTATGGGGCTCTGGAGAGCCAAGGCCTCCACCAACACTGATACAGCTGCTTCCAAATGCATCATTTCTGTCACTGTTAATTTAATATAAATTCAGCTCTTGACCCTGCAAACATCCCCTCAGGATTCGTGCTGAAATCTGGATCTCCAAAATCTAATTAGCTGCTCGTGGCCTGAGGCTGATCTGTCCTCCAAATCTCAGAGAAAGCTGCAGTTAAGTTTGAGTAAAATCCTGCTGACAGACAGACAGCGGCTTAACCTCTGTGGCAGAGGTGATGAAATGTCCCTGAAATGACCAAAAAATTCCCTTAAAACGAGGTAAACCTGCTGAATAAAGGCTTTCTCTTTCTCCTGCTGCAGACTGGCTGGCTGGATTTTAATAATGCAATCAGGACCGGGTCCAGCTGTGATGTTTTTCCTGGAGTTAAATCCTGTTTTCACGGTGTTACCTCAGATCCTCCCGTGAGTTGTTAAAACCACAGAGGTCGTAGACAATCTGGAAAGTGAACAGAACATAAACACACAGAGGCTGTCTGATAATGGCCACCTGTTCATGTACAGCTGTATGTTTGGCAAATTCCATATTTGAGCTCCGTCAACATGACGACTGTTTTAAAACCAAACGATCTCCACCGACCGTCTTACCTCCGTATCAGAAATAATCTCTGTCCATTCTAGCACACCTGAAAGCGAACAGTATATCTCTTCACGCACACTGGGCATGTGCGAGCCGGTGTAAACAGGAAGCAGATCGGTCTGCTCTGCAGTTGGTTAGCTGTAGAAAATACTACGAACGAGAAACAACGAAGGCAGTTTACAGGCTCCGTCAGTGTCATTCGTGCAGCCGGTCCTAGCAGAGAAGTCCAAGGCTGAATTTCTTTTCCCATCCGACCGTGGGTCCAATACTGGTCTGGATTTAATAGAGAAGACAGAACCAGCTACTAAAGGGTCCAGCTTGAGGCAGAACTGTTTTTTCTTCTCCTCCATGTGTCAGTAACTTGATAGCTCATAATTCTACATGTCTGTTTTCATCAGTGGCATGGCAATCAGTAGCATGCTAATGTTAGCGAACTTGGTGCTACCAACATTAAAAATGTGTTCTGCAAATTTTGCCATCGCTAGCCGGCTAACTGTGAGGATGGCTGTGGAGCATATCACCACAATGCTAAAGTGGGCTAGCATTGGTTGTGGCTACATTGTTTCTGTTGGCACTCGTGTTCACAAGGAAACTTTATTCAGCTGAGCCTCTCATTTGTTTAGTGGACGATTTCATTTATAACTGACTGAGCATTTGTTTTGGTTTGAGATGCTGTTGGTCTGTTGCGACATCTAGTGGCAGCGATGAGTTAATGACTCTGAAACATCATGAGGATCAGCAAACTTTTGCACATGCTGTAAATAATGTTTAAGTTTTTTCTATTTTTTTAAATTCATGAAATAAAAAGTAAGTATAGAATTTTTGGAATTTTTTTTTTGTTGGTGTGTACGCTTTTGTTTTTAACCCCTTACTGTCTAAAATTCATCGTAGATGGGCAGCGTTAGACCTATTAGCTGCTCCAAAATCCAGTTTAGTCAAGGGCTGATCCAGCTTTGACTGGACTGGCTCTGAAACACTCTTCCATTTGGTATTTAATCTCAACACTGGCACTCACCTTCTTGTCTCTGACATTGATTTGTTTTCTTCCCCTATGCCAGCGCTATGGCTCCAGCATGGTCCCCAGAGGATCAATCCTGTTCAGACTCACTGTACTGCTCAGCTTTTTTAAGAGTAATTTAACACTAACTCCTAAGTTTCTGGGTTAGTAAATTACATGTGAAATCACTTTATTACACTATTGATCCTGGTTCCATTCAGTAGTTTTCATTACAACAAAAGGTATTTTCCTTCTTCCAGGGAAAATCCAGTAATTCTGTTTATAAACCCCTGAAAATATCTGAATATATCCCACATGAATCAGGCTTTACTCTCTAACTGCCTGCAGGAAATGGGTTTTTTAAAATGCAATAACTTTAAATGTTCCCACTCAAACAACATCACAGTTAAACAACATCTCATCCTCATTGAATTCCTATAAGAGGAGTCCCTTCAAATGCTCGTGGAGCTGCTATGAAGTTGAAAATCGGTTTAGATGGAAAATAGACCTGAGTGGTGATGAGAGGGGTGGGGAGGCATTTAAAGTGAGGGTGTGTTCATTTTCCTAAATGCACCGCTGTGGACAAGAGCCCAGATTGTTGTATATAAAATCCAAAAAAGCCTGAAGGACATTTTTTACTGGCTTTATGAAGACTTGAGTGGCCGCTTCTGTTGCCTGTTATAGGCTCGTAATCGCAGCGAGGAGTGTCCTCTCAGGTGCCGCCGCTGCGACTCTAATATCAAAGCTAATTACACAGATAAACCAGCAGTGTGAGCCATAAAAGAGTCATTTAGTGTGATCCCGGCTCAGAGGAGTGCGGCCGTCCTGCAGATCAATAGTCATGTTTAAAGGTTTGCTCCTACACAGCTCAATAGGAAATGCTCGGCTGAGCCGAGGCACCGAGTCGGCCTCGGATCGATAGCGTTGTTAAACGCTGATTAATGCCCATCATGGCTGATGAAGATGATTGATGGCAGCAGGAGTGATGACACGACTGTTTACAAAAGACTGGAAGGATATGAATTTGGCTCCAAATCCCAGGTTTCCTTACTAGTCATTACATTTCTATCTCTGTCTACCTTTATCTGTCCACTCCTCTGTTTCTCTCTGGCCGCCAAGCTCTATCTCCTCCTGTCTTCTCTTTATTACTGTGAGTCCTCAGTTAGAGAGGCTTGTGTGTGTGTGTGTGTGTGTGTGTGTGTGTGTGTGTGTGTGATGGTTATTGATTCCCTCTCGGTGGATAAATAGTGCCACGGTTTGGAGTTCAGTCTCCTACTCTCCTTCTGTAAAGGCCGATTCTTCTTCTGTCTTCAGCCGTTTGAAAAATCAGTAGATTAACTGAATGTAGAGATGACGTGGACGAGTCCGCTCCAACTTTCAGGGAAGCTGAAATGTCAAGGCTGTCCTTCAGGAGAGAGAGACTTCAGCTGCCTCAAATAACCCGTTAATATGGCGAGGACTTCATGTGGCTGTGCGAGTTATGACTTTTAGCAGTCAGTAACAGAGGTGGACGTAGCATGACAAGAGCGACACAACGGTAAGGGCCGGCACAGCAGGTGACGCTCAGCGAAAAATCCTCCAAAAACCAGAACGCCACACCTTTGTAGACCACGTCCCCCTTGAAGGAAGCGGCCCCTTAATAGGGACGCAGCCAATCAAACTCAAAACAATCTGGTTCCTGTGACGTGCCGTCCGACCACCAGTGGAAAAAATAATTGTGTGTCAGCCTGACGGAACTGTCTCCAGCTGACATTTAGCATGTAGCCCTCGACGTGCACCTAGCATTAGTGTATGAGGGTATGAGTGTGGAAATGAGGACTCGTACCAGCCGCCTGTGGTTTTGTTGACCTATTAAAGCAGTGCTGCCTTGCCCAGAGGCTCTCTGACACTGTGATAAGTAGGTCTGAACGCCATCTGCTCAGTTCAGCTCCAGAGTCACCGCGCCGTTGTACACACAGTTTCATTTGATTCAATTAAATGATTATAACAACGATTATTTACTCCAATCTTCATGTAACTTGACGCCAACGTCGCCATCTTTTCTTCTCCTTCAGGAAGAAAAACAAACGTTCAGGTTTGATGCAGCTCAGACAGGAGAAGAGTCGTCATGTGTCAGATCTGGATTTCACAAAACAAAACCCATAAAACCAGTTGACCTTTGCAGATTTTAACTGGCAGGAAAAGTCCCGCCGTGAGACACCTGAACAATCCCACGTCACGTTAACGGCCTGAGCGCTGGCGGGAAGGTTTATCAGACACTGGACAGCGGAGACCAGCAGGACTTTACAGTTTTCATTGCAGACATGTTATCTATTAAATACACTGCTCTGATTGGTCAGTGCGTTATGTTGCTGGGGTGATGTCATGTTGGGGCAAAAGTTGAACCAGGTTTAACTTTTTTACTGGATGACGCAGCATTAAAGGATAACTGTGGGATGTTGATGTCTTACTGATATTTCTTTTGATTATTAATTTCATTTATTCTGTCAATGTTATTATTTTCTTCTTATTATTATTCCATCTCGTTTTAAATGAATGTTTTTAACATGTTTTCATGTTCCTTTTGTCTTTTCGTGTGAAGCTCTTGGTGCATGTAGATGCAAAGATAAAACATTAAACACAAATTAAAACAAACACATAACTGATATGTATGAATTCAAAACCATTAAGAAAATAAAATAATTAAGACCAAAAACCGATCAGTAAAAAAGATGTGTAAAATAAAACAAAATAAGACATAAAAAAACAATAAAAGGAATATAATTAAGATAAAAGAGTAAATTTGAGTTCAGTTTAGATTAAAAAGATGATGCACCTCTAATATGGTGAAAGCTGCTATTCAAATAAAGTTTATTGTTATTATTATTATTATTATTATTATTATTAACTCCGGGGCAGATGATCGAGAGGAACAGTCGCTCCACTACTGAGCAAGAACTGTATCCTGTACCTGGCAACGTCGGGCACTTAAACGTGTTTGTTTTTGCCACTGACGGGTTCAGATTGTTACCGTCACTGTCTGACAACATTATGAAGAGGATTCCTGCAGAGACGGATCTTTCTGTTAAAGAATAAGATCGAAGAAGAAACAGTCGTTTTACCTCTCAGAACACGGTCGATCGGCCGGTTTGTTTGTGTTATTGTGCGACACTTGTACTGAAGTAAAGGGACTTGAATACTTCTGCCAGCACGGAAATCTTTAACTACGTCAATGTCTTAAATAACAAAACACACAAAACATGAGCACATTGACCTGTTCTGTGTTCTCCTCTGGCTGAATATCATCTCCTGCTGTTTGTAACCTTCACATCTTTCTCTCTCTCTCTCTCTCTCTCTCTCTCTCTCTCTGTCTCTCCTCAGATCTGACTATGAGATTGAGTATGACAGATACCCTGATGACCACTATAACAGGTACGGCAGCCACCTGTAGGATGCTTCTATGTGTTGTTGTAACGGGTGCATTGTCATCTCATTGTAAGACTTCAGTCAGAGTAACAGAGTAAAGCTTCGTATCCTGGAAACTGAACTGATATTTCAGTCCTGATGCCACTGAGCGACTGAGGCAGCAGCTCCGGACGACCTCAGATGTCAACAGCTCCGAAATGTGTTTTCTGAGTGGCTCAGACCGCACATTTTCGGCTGAGAGCAGGAAATTGGTCACCCTCCGAGAACACGAGCAGGTCTAAACTCCCCATTTCTTTCTGGCACGCGTAGGCAAGCCGATTTCCTGTCTGATGGCAGCGTACACTAGACTGTGAGGTTAGGGAAGGATCCGCCCCCCCTCTCTTGAGAGCTGCTTGCAGTTCCAGGAAAAGATGAGAACCGTGAGTGGATCCCCGTTTGACCTTGTTGTGTTCAGCTTTCAGACGGTTGAAGAGCCGTTTTAGTGAGGCTGAGCGCAGCTGTTGGCCTCCGCTCCGCCCTCCACATTCACTCACTTTAGATTATTCTGCAACAGAGGGAACAGATTCACACTCTGCAGCAACATACAGAACAAAATACTGCACATCAGAGTGATCCCTCCGTTTTCTATACACTTTATCCTTTGAGGGTCACGGGGGGGTGGAGCCGATCGCAGCTGACACTGGGCGAGAGGCGGGTTACATCCTGGACAGGTTGCCAGTCTATCACAGGGCTCATCAGAGAGAGAGAGAGAGGGGTCAGGAAATGACAGACTTAAGTTAGGAAGATTGAAAAAAAGAGACAGACAGGGAGAGAGAGAGAAATAAAGGGCAAGATACAGAGAAAAAAAATGAGAGAGAAAAAAAGAAAGAGTCAAGACATGATAAAGAGTAGAAAGAAAGAATAACGATAAAGAAAAACTGGAAAATGAAGCGAAGAGGCAAAGAAAACTAAAACATGCTGAGACAAATATATATATATATGTATATATATATATATACATATATATATACGTATATATTTAAAGAAAAAACTGTTTGAATTTGCACATTGCTCCAGGAGAAAAGTTGGAGTGATAAAGACAAAATGTGCCAAAGGCCTTTAACAAGATAACATGTCGGGACACAATACTGAAGCAAGAGGACATTATTAAAAGAAGAGCCTCAAGGGCCGGTACGACCTGCAGGACACAGATTCATTAAGATTCATATCTGCTCGTAAGAAAGGAGGAGAGATTCTGCTCATTATATTTTGCATTTAAACCTATTAAAATGTTTAAAGGTCCATATTTTCTTCTTCTGTGTTTTATTGAAAGTGTTGATCCATAAGAAATTATATTTGTGGTTTTAAGAACCAAAAACCATCTCAGTGTAGTTTTACATCTCCTCTCTCAGGCTTCTCTCTGGAGCTCTAGTAACAACAGGTCGGTGAGCCAATCAGAAGAGAGGAGGCTCTGAGCCTCTCTTCTGATTGGCTGACTGTTTTCTGAGTGATCCAATAAAAATAAAGCAGATTTCAGGTAAAAACACTCAGAGAAACCAAATCCTGCAAGGTTTGGATGGTGGGTCCAGGTGGGCGGGGCTTGGTGACTGCTTTGTTGTGACATCACAAAGTTCCAGAAGTCCTGACGGCTGGTTTTAAGGCTCAGTTTCTGAATACAGGCTGTGTGCATTTCTCTGTGGACTGAGGCTTTGATACTTTCACAGTATTAATATAGAAGCTAGAGCTGATCTATAATCACACTACACATGGACACAGACCTTTACACTGGAGGAGCTTTAAAGGGACATTACACCAATTTAAGACATTAAGGGAAGTTGACAAGTCGTGTTAGGACCAGAACAGAAACCTGGTGTTATAAACTCTGGAGTGGAGAGACACTATTTGCTGCATTATGGGAAATGTAGGAGCTTGACTGACATAAAACTCAGCATCATAATTTTTTCTTTTAATCTGTGTCAAACAACTTCCCCACCTTTATGAAGTGAATCAGTGGAGGACCTGTTTTTGTTTGTTTGTTTGTTTGTTTGTTTAAAGGATAAAATGGTGAAACTTGAAAAATAGTAGTTCAGGATTTCAGAACAAACGACTGCAGAGAAACATGTGACTTACATTTCGTTAAAACTGAAGAAAATGTCTTTAAACAGGATTCAGTTTTCTCTGAGGCAGAAAATGGAATTGCATTAAAAGTAATGTGTGTGTGTGTGTGTGTGTGTGTGTGTGTGTGTGTGTGTGTGTAACTAACTAAACTAAGTAACTAAATTAAATTCAATTAAAAAAGCCCTGATGCAGAAAATGGGAAAGTAGGTGCTTGTGTATGTGTGTGTGTGTGTGTGTGTGTGTGTGTGTGTGTGTGTGTGTGTGTGTGTGTGTGTTCTCAGGGTGTTTACAAACTGCTTCAATCAGTTTTCACTTTGTTTTGTTTACTTCTTTCTTTTTCTTTATTTTGCATTTTACTTTCTTCTTTTTCTAATTTTTCTTGGTATTAACACAACGTCCAGATCACAGAGAAGATCAGCTGCTGTGATGGAGTGATTTAATAGAAAAGGAGGTGAAGTGAGTCTGAGGGAGAGAGGAGGAGAAGGACAGAGGGGTAACTGAAAAACAAAAGGGAGAGAGAGAGGGTGATAGAAGTATGAGAGAGAAAGAAAAGGGAGAGCGAGGTAGCAGAAGTAGAGAGCGAGGAGAGAGAGAGAGATGAACTGTAGTAAAACAGAAACAAAGGAAAACTCAGGTATTAGAGGAAGAGGAGGAACGAAGGGAGTGAAGAAGAAGTAAAGACGTCACATGATGTGCTTTCATGTCTCAGCTGTAAACGACTTTCAGTTTGTGAATGGAGTGTGTGTGTGTGTGTGTGTGTGGTGTTATCTTCTCTCTGTGCTGTTTTACATGAACCTTGACGTGTCCTTGTTTTCTCTAGCAGAACCACTGCAGTGTTTCCTGCTGTCAGCTGCGTACAATACAAACACTACACAATACAACTACACACGACAACTACACACTACAACTACACAATACAACTACACAGACCCACACTAACTACACACTACAACTACATAGACACACACTGACAGAACTGACTGTAGGACTCTGGTGTTTTAACTGTAGTTTACCTTCACGTGTTCCCAGCAGCAGACGTGTCCGAGTGTTGTGTCCGAGTGTTGTGTCCGAGTGTCGTGTCCGAGTGTCGTGTCCGAGTGTCGTGTCCGAGTGTCGTGTCCGAGTGTCGTGTCCGAGTGTCGTGTCCGAGTGTCGTGTTCGAGTGTCGTGTCCGAGTGTCGTGTCCTAGTGTCGTGTTCTTGTGTTGTGTCCTAGTGTTGTGTCCCAGTGTTGGTGTCCGAGTGTTGTGTCCGAGTGTTGTGTTCGAGTGTTGTGTTCGAGTGTTGTGTCCGAGTGTTGTGTCCAAGTGTCGTGTTCTTGTGTTGTGTCCTAGTGGTGTGTCCTAGTGTTGTGTCCTAGTGTTGTGTCCCAGTGTTGTGTCCGAGTGTTGTGTCCTAGTGTTGTGTCCTAGTGTTGTGTTGCAGAATGAGTCTCCATCATCAGTCACAGCACAAACACTTCAGAGTCTCTGCTTCCAGCCAAGTCAGGTCCGAATCACCGTTGTGTGGAGGACACTGTGGGAGCAGCACCGCCGGTGATGATGTTGGAGACTTTAATACAGACACACAGATGTTAGATTTTTTGTCCTGGGTCTGTCATTTGTTTTGATAGTGTCAGGAGAGAAAGTAACTCTTGGATTTTGAAGTTGGTCACTTCATCCAAGTCCAAATCGTTGTTGGAGATTAGAGGTTTTAGATCGGGTCCTGAGAAGACTTATCTCAGCAGGACCAAGTGGTAATTCATGTCTGCCTCTGTAGTGTTTTTAGAGATGATGCGATGAAGCTTTTGGAGTATAAACTTTAATCTCAGAGATGATGATTTGTTGCTGCCACATCGGTTTGTCTGCAGGTGAAGTGAAGCTTTGTGTTTTAATTGGACAGTTTAACAACAGAGGTGCTTCTGTGGACCTTTGGGTTCTTATATGTAGATATATCACATTAATCGCCAAGGAAACAGGAAATGACTAAATTTAAAGAGATTTTATTTTGAAGTTGAGGATTTTATTTTGGTAACTTCCTGTTGGACTGTAATTTCCTGTTAAGAAGACCAGGTGCCATTTTGTTTGTTGCTGAAGTCACATGTGGAGGGGGGGGTTGTCAATCCTCATCTATCCATCTTCTGTCTCTTCCCGTGGCATTCCCGGTAAGTTTGCTTTTATTTTGAAACCTGAGGAATAAATATTTACCTGTGTTAGACATAAATTACCTCATTTTATATTTGTTTAATTCACCTGTATACTTACCTTACCTAACACTGAATACAGAGGTCTGGTCAACATAGATTAAAAAAAAAAAAACCCTGAAATGATCTGATTAACTGAAGCTGGTTCAAGTCAAAGGAAGTCGGTGTATTTACTGTCAGGACAGAACACAAGCTGCGTCTCAAATCAAGGGCCGCTTCCCTCAGAGGCTCCTTCAAATGCGTCGTTCTTTTTCTGGGCAAACCCAAGACCCAAGTTTTATTGCGCGGCGCGAATCTAAATAATACTGCAGCAAACGACGCCAACAGAGAGCCTGAGGATTACACTTTTAAAAACAGAAATCCTCCAAAACCCAAACCGTCCCACTTCGATTCAGCCTTCAGATTCCTCCAGGACAGACTGCAGGGACAGAAACTCACCAGAAGATTCAGATTCATGTTTATTTCTGTTTATTCAAATATATACAGTATATATATATTTTTTACCTTGCTACATTTGTTATTCTCAGTTTTACCCCCAGTTGACTGAATTATTCTGAGTAACAGCGGCGAACACAGGAGTGAGAAAATAATTTACTCTAAACATATTTTTATGGGAGTTCTGCTGCTTATTCGCAGCCTGTAAAACTCCCTGACAGCACTGAAGGTGACACGGCTCTTATTTGTGCGCGCGCACACACACACACACACACACACACACACACAGGACT